GCAAGAGGTTACAGAAGGGTCCACCAGCCACCCCCACTGCAGGTGGTGCTGCTCTGCAAAGGAGCCTCCAAACCCAGACTGCAAGTCTATGGTCTATTTTAAAGTGAGGCATCACTGAATAATGCTATAGATCAGCCACAGGGGAGTTTGCTTAGTCGAGAACTTGGCCATTGAGGACTTTGACCACCACAAAGACATTTACATGGCAAGGCCAAGTTGAGCTCATGTATAGTCTGCCTTTCCAGAACTGAAAGGAAGCGGGGAGGGAATGTGTGGAAGCATCTCCAGGAGCTAAATGATATCCATGTGTTAGGAGAAAACAGAGTTGCCAGAGACTTGCAGAAATATGATCAATCTTGACTGATTTTTTGCATATTTAAAAATTAAATCATGTTGTTGCTGTAGCAGCTCCAGCTGCTGGGGGTGGGGTGTTGGTTTTCCGGCGGTTTGATCATCTAGTTAGCACTGCTAGCGCTGTGGCAGCAGGGCAGGTAGCAGGCATGGTTGCTTATCCACACCATGTACTGTGGGGAAGAGGGACACAGCTGAAAGCAACCAGCTAGATTGAATTGCACTCCAGAAGACCCTTACAGGAAGCTCAGTGCAAAGCTAAAGCCAAGGCTCATGCTTCAGAACAAAACATAAAGACAAAACTACTGCTTTGGGCCCAGCTATCTTGAGAAATGGCTCTACTGTGAGGGAGAACTGAAAGCAAGACCTTCAGAATGGGCCTGAGCATGAAGTAACGTAAGATGCTAATGCTCATGGGCCAGGAATAAGATGAGAAAAAGCATCTGTGAAGTTGACTTCTCCAACCAAGCAGAGAATAGGAGAGTCACCCAGCCCATTCCCAAATAACCTCCCATTTCACTAGCACAGGGCGAGCAGGGTAGCACCAGTGAACTTCTAGACAGTCCAAGGTTCAGCCGGTGTCTTCACACTGTCCTGACTGAAGAGAGATTGCTATGAGATCTTCACTCTCCTCCCACGTTTTGCTGTTCATGTAAAGGGGAGCGATTGGCTCGGACTCTCCTCTCGTCTCATCTCTCCTGTATATAGACATGTATATATGTATTTACACACATACTGCTAGTGCTTCAGGTGCATCATCACTCCTCTTCCTCCTCCTCTAGCCAAGGAAACATATTTCTTTCAGGGCCTGAAAAAAAACATTGATCAAGTCCAACTTCCCAGCCATGTGAAGCACCTGGAGCAATATACTCAAGTTCTCGTTAAGGCTCCAGTTATCCATTTCACAATAAATATTTTACAGTGAACACTGCAGTGAAGCTTTCATTTGCCAAAGATAAAACAAGCTTTGAAGCTAAGGTTACGTATGTTTTATGCTGCTGGACAAGCTCATGTTACCAGGAGGCTGAAAGAATCGCTCACAAGATAACAATAGGTTGGAAACTGAAGTAATTTCAGCAGAAAATTAAAGGTTAGTGATGTTCTTCAACTTCTATACGCTCGGTAGGGAGCAAGAAGAGTGTTATGTGAACAGGTCCCAGGTGTCTACTCCCACATTAAACTGACAATTTAACAACATAGAGAAGACTGATCCAAACTTTAAATACAGTAGCGCAGGACATGGGAAACCAGAGTTTATGCTTCTACTGCCCCAAGAGCAAAGGCAGGTCATGGACTGTGAACTTTAGCTTTCCCCATCTATAATGGAGGTATCGTAGAATGGTTTGGGTTGGA